CAAAAGTAACATCAAGAAGAGACTGCGCAGGACGTAGAAAATCAAAACTATCGAACGCCAAGTACCTGCTAGCGGCGAGAAAAGTGCGGGCTCTTCCATCTAAAGTAAACAATCAAGTGATTTTATCTTGCTATTTGCGAAGAAACAAAAGCAAACCCGCGCGCTCGCAAAACCAATCCCACGTTTACCCAGTAGTGAGTCGGAAAATATACGCATGTGTCATGGCAAATCTGAAACTGAAAGCCTTAAAAATTACTGCCTTTATTGTTCTTTCTTGGAAAATTTTAACAATAACCAATTCGTGTAATAGATTCTCATAAATGATTCACTTTTAACGGTTTATTTGTTTATTATTAGTCATAATCGACAAATCGTATTGGCCCTCTCATTTAAAAATATGTTAACGTGAAAGACCGAAATTGGAGAATGTCGACTTTCACCGGAGAATATCAACATTCACCAAATACGTCGGTGAAAGACCGAATATTTCACTACATTCTTGTATATTCGGACACTCACCGGTGTATGTCGACAATCACAGATATGCTCTGGTGAAAGTCGAAAAGAGAGGTCATAAAGTGCCATAATAGTTTAAGTTGTTGCAATAAATAAGATTTGAATCACATAATTTAATAAGTTTTTTTATTACTGTTATTTTATTTTCTCATTTAGAACGTACTGTATAATTAAGTAAGTTTTTAACTTCTATTATTTTAATTTCTCATTTTGAATGTATTGTGTGTTTTAGGTTCTCATGTTCTTAAGTTCTTATTTCAAGTCTCAAGTGCGTTTATTCGCGACTGGATTACGGAGAAGAAAATATAATATTGTTATATGTTCAACATTCACCATTAGTACATAGTGAATGTCGACATTCACCGGTTAAGTCAGAAATAAGAGTATTTGGAAAATATTTCGGACATACACCAAGAGACTTTGTGAATGTTGACATTCACAGGTGAAACTCGACATTCTCCAGATTTCGGTGTTTCACCTTAACATATATACATATAGATTGTTTCTGGACATACATACATATATAATCGACAAATCGTATTGGCCCTCTCATTTATCTATACATATAGATTGTTTTTAAACATACATACATATACACACACACCAACGAATGTGGAAAACATTATATTATTTATAAAAGTTAATACCATTCTTAAAACTGTTAAAATCCTCATCAATGAAAACCGATGACAGTTATGATACATTAAATAATAAAATTAAGAAAAACATTTGTTTTTCTTTGGGGGAGTCGGGCGGTGGAAAATTTTGAATTAACTCATGAATAGTCTATATCGATTGTAGATGCAATTTCATGCTTTGCTATATCCCTGAGCAGTCTCTGAATAACTTTACAAGAAATGTGAGGTAAGGTAAGGTAAGGTAAGGTAAAAGTAAGGGGGACACCAACGATGTACCATAGGTCAACTGGTAATGCCTTCCCATACTAACTGTTTGAGAGAAAAAAAAAGGGGGGGTAATTGCAAGTTTTATAAGAATTCGCATAGACTGAAGCTTTTCAAAAGGTCTAAAGTTTGCCTATTATGGTACATCGTGCAATTCCACAGTACGCCCCGCATCCAGTATTTATTAAAAATAATGGTGTAGGGCATAAGTAGATTACAAAATAGTAGGAATATAATTTGAGATTCAAGATAAGTTGAACATCTGATTTGGTGCAACAAAAATAGGAGATAAACATAATTAATAAACAAATAAACATAATGAGATAATTATAATTAGTACTGGCAACACAATGTTAAATGAATTGTTATAATAATGCTAAAGAGGTAGGTGTCCATGGGTTATTTCAGATATATTGGTTTATTGCAGTTTATAACGTTCAGTTCACGAGCGGATCCATTTTGTCCATAATTACAGCATGTAAAAGTTCACTAAGTTTAAACTGTATGTGGATTTACACTTGACAGAGATCTAGGCCGTAGGAAGAGAGTCGTTGCATAATTTTCTGAAACTTTGGATATTGATGTTTATTTTTAATTAAAAATCATTGGAATGCCAGGAGGTCAGTTCTTGGGGATTTTATGTGAATATCCTCAGTTAAGGGACATGAGAAAACGTAGTGATCAGGAGTTCCCTGTTCCCCACATATGCAGATGTCAGAATTTGCCAAATTTCTTGCGTAGAAATATGTGGGGAATACAAGTAATGTGGTATTTTATAAGATTTTATTTACAAAGGTTTCCTTCTGTACTTCTATCTATAATTAGCAGTATCACATGAAAAGAAATCTGGTGTGGCTAGCACATGATCGCCCGCTAGTTCCATGTTAACGCATAGCGTTGGCGGGATATCAATGAGCTTTAAGTAAAGTGTCGTTTCCATTTGATCGTTTGTAAATAAAATTTAATTGCTTCATAAACTTTATGGCTCAATGTTAATTATAAACACTGCGCATTCTTTTATAACCCTGTTCTTCCATTCAATGGAAATGATAACTAACTTGCTCATGTAACATCTATTCTCATGCTTTGATTTGTCAATATCGCATTGATTGTAGTATATCCTCTGATAATAAATGGTTCGGATTCACAAATCAATAATTTAAAAATCACAAAATTTTTAAAAGCAGCATATCTTTTAATTCCCGACAAAGGGTTACCATATATTTCTTTTTATATTATTTATATTTACAATATTATTTCTTTAAGAATAATAGATAAAAATATCATTTGGTGGCAGCATCCTCTCGTCTGAAAAGTGTTTCAACACAAAACTGAAACTAATACATTGAGGACAAAGGTTAATACATTTAATTGCTTCACAACGTGAGCCCGTCTTCATAATGTGCTTATTCTCGTTGCATTTATCATAATTCCTTAAACAGATTTAATGCATTTTTCTCGTCTCCTGCTTCAAAACAAGCTAATGACTCTACAGCGCAAATCGAAAGATTACTGCAAATAACATACGGAAAGCCACCCAGCCACCAAAGAAATTTCTTTTTGGTTGATTGCATAAGGATTTAAAAGCAAAATACAAAGAAATAATTAGTTCGAATTTCTTTTACGAGATTTTTATTTATTCTCTAGCCACAACCTGCTAACTTCATCATCTTATCATCTTATCGGGCCCACCAGCGGCCGAGCGGTAAAGTCGCTGAACACTGGTAGTTCGGTCCGAGGTTCGAATCCCGCGAACGGGCTGGCTGCATGGGTGTTTTCGTGGTTTTCCCCATGTGTAACGTATATACGAGCCAGTTTCCCTTAGAAAGTCCTCCACGAAAGGCATCCCTCCCCTTAGGCAGATAGCCCTAGTGTGCTTTGCCATAATTAAATACACCAACACCAACACCTATCATCTTATCTAGATAGAGGTTTAAGTTTGCCGAGTGTATTTCAGTAATTTGAAGTGAGAGCAGAGCCTGAACAAGCTCGTTTTCCTAATAAGTTAGCTTTCACTTTCGAAAGGAAACAATCTCATTTTACATTTGCAACAGCAGTTCTATGCAAAGCTTAAATAGATATTAAGAAAGAGTAATCAGCTTTTTTTTCAACTGAGTAGTGACGATACTGAATCCACAAATAAAACGTTTGTCTTGGTCGAAGCATGACTGGGTACATTTACATTACCTTACAGTTACTTTAAATTCGATTAGAAAAAGTTATAAATGCAACAAATCTCTTTTGCTGTTTGCATTTCACAACGGTTTGTTTTCTTTAAACTAATTCCCCAGTGTCTTTAGCTTGTATTGTATTTACGCGTAGTAATTTCATGATTAATAATAATTTGTATTCCCACTAGCTATATCCTAATGACAACTTGGAGTTAAGTAATATTGCTATTCCAGGATGGATTTATTTACAATAAGGTTCTTTACTGAAGGCATTAAATTATTTTTGTCATACTAAATTCAAAATCTGTGAGATTTTAACAAGTAATGTAATTCAGTTCAGTCTTCTTTCAGTGTTTACGTAACTTAAGATTATTACAAGTTTCCTCTCTCTTGCATATCCAAAGCAACTAAAATGTAAGATTGTAATAATATTTCTAGAGTCATTAGGTTTTTCTGAAGCAGTAGACTTCAGAAAATGTGCATCGCCCTCGCCGGGACTCGAACCCTGACCTCTCGAACACGCGTCGAGTATGCTTTCAATTACACCATGAAGGCACGTCAAAAGGAGGGAGAAAATACCTTAAATACTCCCCTTTTTAAAAGGCGACTGGTGATTAGGGGGCTTAATCGCCAAATTCAGGTAACGACGAAACGAACCTTTAGTTCGGGGTCACTGTAGATTCACTAAGTGTTTCTGAAGCAGAAGACTTGAAAAATGTGCAGTACCCTCTTTGGGACTCGAGCCCTGGATCTCTCGAATACGCGTCGAGTTTGCTTCCAATTACAATACGAAGGCATGCGTAAAGGAGAGAGTAAATGCTTTATACGTTAATAAAAAATTTAACCTAATATTCCATCAAGGTTTCCAATTTGAAATATAGATTATGAAAGATTATCGAGTTCTTGAAAAGGTTATGTTGTGGTGAAACTTGAAAATGTGTAAAATTTGGGAAACAGAAAATGCCCATATGCATATACATTTTTAAATGCTCTTCAAATGCTTCTCACCTAAAATGAAAATAAAAACGTCAAGACGTCGAACTAAATTGTAACAAATACACATGAAGTTTATTAAATGGCAAAATGAAATCCTAATTTGGCATTAATTTAAATAAATGATAGGTTGAATGCCTTAATTGAGCCGAAGCAGTTAACCCATTTTTACTCCTGTTAAACAAAATTTTATAGTCGTTTGAGATGCATTCAGTCTCATCCATGGAAATTATAAATTTGTTTTCATATAAAAATCAAATTTGGCCAATATTAACTACGCTAAAGCATTCGACTACAAAGTCGATCTGGCAGGAATATAAGAGAAGCACCACAGTACTCTATATTTCATTCAAGAAATATATTTTCCCATTTCATTCGGGCATTTTGTAAATCTAACAAGTTTCATTTTCCATTTCAGTTGAAGATGGCCTGAAGGAGCTTGGGAAAATAGAAGAAGAAACTCAAGAGACGAAAAGTGTTAAATACTGGGCTGAAAAGAGTAAGTTGCTGTCATTTGATTATTTTGAACTTTTTCTTGCAATTCAGTTGTATTTTTATGTTAAATGAAACAGCTCTCATATATATATATATATATATATATACACCATATAAAAACTATAATTCTCGTATATGTATAACGAATTTAGAAAAAATAATACGTTTTCATATTAAAAATAATACATTTCACCTCTTATTCAATTCGGAATAAGGATTAATCCCATATTCAATTCAGTTTATAATATTGGGGAATTCATTTCGCTTACAAATATATGCGAAAACTAAATTCCGAATTGAATATGGAATGAATTTGAAACGTATTATGCTTTAATTTATCTAGCGTTATTACCACCACATGTTGCTAATTTCAGCACGCAACTGGATTAGGTTTCGACTTGCTTTTAACTTTATACTTATATACATATGTCAGAAAAATAGCTATTTGTGTCAAAAAATTCTGCTATTTCTGCGTGTTTGCAATTGATTTAAAATGAAGAACACTTTTCATAATTAACTCCTGGTGTGTTCAGCAATTCTAGTATTTTATATGGTGAAAGAAAAAAAACTGAATCACCTTCTTGTGCAATAGCATCACTCACTTTTAGGATGCTTAATGTCTACCGATATACTTTATCTAAGTATCTCACACAAACTGATTACTTGAAGGACTTTCATTAGCTTGGTTCTACCCAGCACTTTTCCCATGAGGAGATACGAATGCCACATAATAAGGATGAAGATGCCAGTTTCGTGAATAATTAAATGCAGTATATGTAAGGGGAAAACGCCCATCTCTCTCGTCGGAAACACCAAACCCATATGTAAAATATGAAAAAATTAGAGTATCAAGAAGTCTAAGCTGAATGATGAATTTAATATGGACAGAAAACCTAAAGTAATGAATGTCTGACATACATTTAATTCGTTCTAAAATCTTTTATGCTTTTATGCTGCTTTTATGCTTTTATGTGTGCAACAGCAGCAAGTGCTTTGAAAGTCCATAAATTATATATATTAAATGTATTATAAAGTGAATTATGTATAATAAAGAAATGGAGATAGAGGTGAAATTAAGGTGAACACCAAATCATCACTATAAATCACAAAATATTGTTAATGTTATATAGAAATATCAATTTTTTAACAAATTTTTAATTTTTTACTACTTATTTAAGTAATTTATTCTTGGATAAAAACCTAAAAACTAACACCTTCCCCTAGAAAATAAAATTAATTTCTTTCTTGTTGTTTTGAAAAGCAAACTTTAATCCGGTCTCTTTTCATAAGTGAAGTTTCAAACTTCACTTATGAAAAGAGACCGGATTAAAGTTTGCTTTTCAAAACAACAAGAAAGAAATTTTTATTTTCTAGGGGAAGATGAAACTTCACTTATGAAAAGAGACCGGATTAAAGTTTGCTTTTCAAAACAACAAGAAAGAAATTAATTTTATTTTCTAGGGGAAGATGTTAGTTTTTAAGTTTTATGGGAAACTGAAAGAATCAATTGGCTAAAATTGTTCAGATTTCAAAACCCTTTTAGTTATGTTCTGTAAGCATTTCTCCACTCTATATGCATTGTGAATAAATAAACTATTAATATATTATCTGTCAGTCTTCCGTACAGTCCTTAATTTTCATAGCTATAAAAGTTTCAGCAATGCGTCATTTTACTCAAAAACTAAAAGTAAATGCTCTAACGCTGTGACCTTTCTAAGTTATTGCTGCTCTTCCCATTTTCTCTCAAGAATTCCTTAATAAATAATTGTTTCTTTAACTGTCGAATTGTTAGAAATTTAAAATATTCCAAACTATACATTCCTCGTGCATCTTCAGAAGATCATTTCTTGCTTTCAACAATTTGTCTTCCTCTACTTTCCTTCAATCTTAAATTTAATTCACTAACATTCCTTTCTTCTTTACTTCAGACTACTGCTTACCTATGTGTGTCCTTTGTTTCATCTTGAATCTCCGTTTTTGTATGCCTTTGTAGTATTCAGAAGAATTTGCTGTCTACATTGTATTCTCAAAGTTTCCACTTCTTTTTAAGCTATGTGCCTCGTTCTCTGAAATTTTATGAATAGATTCTCTTCTCGCAATGGCAAGCTAATTTCCTTCAAATTTTTTATTGATGTTTTTTTCTAAAGTCTATTGTTCCCTTTTAGTTTTTGATACTTGTCTTATTCCACCTGTAAAAAAGCAATTTAAAAATAACGTTTCATACGTTCACAAGAAATCTGCAGATTGTGAAAATAATGCGCAGATCAATAAAATGGTGCCTGATTAGAAAACAAATATAAAAAGAAACTAGATAGAATGAAACTATTGTAAAGTAAATTAAAAAAATAACCATGAATGAAAAATTTAGTAGCGTACGTTTTTTAAAATCTAAAGATTATTTATTTCTAATTTTTAAAACGGTGTTGTTGTTTTCCTTATTTCATTTCATGATATCAAATTTTAATAATTTTCTTTGATTTTGCAACAAGAGAGGCATTTAAAATATATTTAAAAATTATTCTAAGAGAACTTCAAGAACTTTAATTTTAGAATGATTATTTTTATAAAATATACTGACGCATTAAAGGATTGAATATAGTATTATTGATACCATAAATCTCTCTCTGTAGAAACAATTACTCAATTCAGATATATTTATGTAATATAATGCAATTATTTTATAGTTCAATGATATTCATTTAATTCCTGTATTTCTTAAAATTGAGGAAAAAGAAGTAATTTACATTCTGCATATTTTTATGAAGCTATTTACATTTAGGTGTTTTCAGTTTTGAGGAAATAAAACATAAAAGGTATTAAAACGAATTACCCATGCAACAGTTTAATTCATCATTAATTATGCAATGCATGCAGTTTCAGAAGTAAGGAATAGCAAAGAATTCTTGTCAAACACAATATGATGTTCAATTAAAAGACATTAATATAGTATTTGAGTAGTAATACAGTATTTAATTTCATTTATTTACAATATGATAGCTAGTTTAAAAATTTAAACTTCAGATGTATATAGTATTTTCAGAAATATTATTAAATTATTTTTTTTTAATTTTTAATTTGCATATAGCTATTTATCATTTTGTTTCTTTTCAGTTACTTATGCCTTCAGAAGCTTAACTGTTTCTGCCACCAAACAGAGAAAAAACAGTTTTGGTTCACTTTTTTCTTCTTTAGGTACGTTTTAATTCTGTTTGTTTCATAGGAATCATAAGGAAACGAAATTTTTTAAAACAAGGTTTTGTTACAAAAGTAAAACAAAACTTTTTTTCAGTATCATTAAAATTATGAGCCATTCCTCGTTGCAGAAAGAGAGCTAATGATTTTAATTAAAGCCATTAAACCTTTTTCAGTTGGATTTACTCATCTAAATATCCATTAATATTAAATACTTCCTTTTAACCGTCTTTTTATTGTTTAAAAATTTTTTAAATTTTATTTTTTAAAAAATAAAAATTTAAAAAAATTTTAACAATAAAGAGACGGTTAAAAGGAATTATATTAATACGTCTTTTTATTTTTTAAAATTTTCTTAATTGTTGTTGTTGCCTTGTCTTAATTGTTGTTGCCTTGTCTTAATCTTTTCTTAATTGTTGTTGTTATCTTGTTTTCTTAATTGTTGTTGTTGCCTATAATACGTCTTTTTATTTTTTTAAATTTTCTTAATTGTTGTTGTTGTTGCCTTGTCCATATTACATATAACAAGGGTTGCCACAGCCTACTCCGAAGAGATGTTGGACTTCTATTTTCCACCCACTCCTCTCCCCTTCCACCAATTCACACTAGAGGATTTTCGGCTAGCCGCATATTTAAAGTGCTGAATCGACACTATACATTTACAAACATCCATGTCTTCTTCGGGATTCGAACCCAGGCCCATCGGTGACGTAGTGGGCTCTCCTAACCACTATACCGTCTGGATAACTATTTTCTTAATTACTATTTAAAATTAGTTCTATAGCTCAGATTAGGGTGTGATCACATATCAAATGAAGTTATTTCGAGCAGAAAGTTTGGTTTGGTTTATTTAATTATGGCAAAACACACTAGGGCTATCTGCCTAAGGGGATGAATGCCTTCGTGGAGTACTTTCTAAAGTAAACTGATTCGTATACACGTCACACATGGGAAAAATCACGAAAACGCCCATGCAGCCAGCCCGTCGAGCAGAAAGGTAGACTATCAAATGTAATGTAATAGTTTACTTGCGCTTACATAGTTTGAATTTCCCCATGATACTACTATTAAATAATTTTTATTTGCATTTTTCTCTGTAAATTCTTGATAAATATTATTATTGATAATTCTAACTTGTTTCATTCTCCTTCTTAAAGAATTTTTCCTATCCAAGTTCTTTTTAGGAAGATGAATTTCATAACTTCTTATCAATGAATTTTAAACGTCATTATGTTACCAGAAGAAAAATTGTCTATTCAAGTAATTTGTATTTTCTCGTGTTTTTGAAGCTCGAACTAAGCAATTTTATCTTCAAACATGAACTCAGAAATATATTTTATCAGCGTTGGATCTTGTCTCATGCTTTACTAAATATTTTCAGAAATTTTACTTTATAGCAAAAGCAAGCTAATTCCTGGTACTTATTTTTCTCGCACCAATGGATAATTCCTTAATGTTTTCCTAACATAGTGTCATTGTAAATGCCGTCGTCTCAACACACGTCTGTGCAAGAAATATTAACAGCCGAATTGGTTTTAAATAGGTTTTTCTTACAACTGAGTCTATTAATGTTTGCAATGGTTATCACAGGAATTTGTAACAATGCAGCAAAAAGCGCATTGAAATATCTAAAGCATATTTAGCTGATGAATATTTACTCAATAGCTAAATATGCTTTGGATATATATAAATACCCTAAATATGCAGTTGTGGTCTTAGTATTCGAAAGTGCTCTTATTGAGCACACGTTTCGTAAGTCAGATTGCCCTCTCTAACACTTTATACGCATACATTTCTTCTAATACATTTCTAAAGTGTCATATTAGCACGTGTTTAAATATAAAGCAAATCACAATAACAGCAAACTTATGTAATCCTCTCTATGAAAGTCTGATGAAAGAGGAAATTCGACTTTGCATCAAAATTTAATTTCTCAGTCAAAATCCTTTTGTATTGTTATTTTCACTTGGTTAGGGCTTCAAAATTATTCTCGCAATTGTACCCTCACGTACGTGAATGTATTTTGAAATATTCTGTATTTTAACGGTATATATAATAGCTATGTGATATTGTTCTTCATGTGAACATTATTATTTTTTTTAATGTTTAAATGTTTATAAAAACTCGAGAGGGACTTATATCTGAATGAATAAAGGTGGTCGAAAATTATTGAGCAAATTTCATGTTTGAAAAAAAAAAAAAAAAAAAAAAAAAAAAAAAAAAAGAACAAAATAAGATGCGTACAAGTTTATTGTTTTCTTGGAAAAATAATTTAAAACAGTTTTACACAACAAAATTTAAAACATTAAATAACTTTCACAGGAGATCTATTTATGGCACCCTCTTCAAATGTGAAAATGCGCTCAATAATTTTGGGATGACCTTGTATTTTAATTCAAATTCTTTCTCCTCAATATGACCTTAAAGCTATGATACCACTTATTGCCTTAAAGCTATGATACCACTTATTGCCTGTAGCTTGAACTGATTGTTAAAATCCAACGCAAAAGCAAATAAAACTTTCTTATAAATCTCACGAACTGAGAGTATCAATTAAAATATTACAAAACAAAAACAAAAGTAAAAGTCTACTTCACTTTGCACCAATTAGTAGATGGACGAATATTACAACTAGATTCAAGTATTTCTACTCGTGTTCACAGCACTCTGTGTTAGATAATCTAAGATTTAAATCAAGTTTAACTTACCACCTAGACTAATGCCTGAAGCAGCGCCTTCTGAATGCTAGGCAAGCACGGCACCCGTTTACAAACTTCTGGCCTACTACAAAGTCATACTTCTCTCTCAGTTTATACTATGCCATTGGCAGATCAAATGTGCAAAAATGTCAGGACTAAAGAAGTAGGAGTCATAAAGTAAAAATTCAAGTTAAAGTTTATACTGTTCATTAAAATAAATGTCACATATTTCATTCCTTAATAAGTTAAGGCATCATAAAAACTTTTTCTTATACGTATTGAAGCTGAAACATATATTCAATAAACACAGAAAACAAGATAAATTTATTTAAATTTTGAGAATAATGCCATCAATAAATAGCTGTTATTCCCGTATGCTTGACAATGTCTTAAAATGTATCGGAACTGGATGACACACAATTCAGTCTTTTTCCTTTCATCAGTTACGAGTTCATGAATTCTTAATTTTTGTGATCATTCTTTTCCATATGATTGACATACGAAAAGAAATGCTTAAGCCAGCTAAATAGAGAAAATCTTAAAAATTAATAGTGTTTGATTTTCAAAATTTAAAAATTTTGTTGTAAACATGGATAAATTAGAAATGTTTTTTTAAACGTTCATATTAAGTTACGACCGCATGGGTATTGGACACTAAAAGAAGAACTTAATTAGTTAAATTTATCTCTATTAGAGAAGATTTGCCACATTTAAAAAATGTCGCAGTCTCACACAAATATATTTGCTTCTACATGCTAGAAACAGCATAAGCTTGGAAATCTAAATATCTATACTTCTATTAACATAGTCTTTGGTATGATCTATATTTTCTTAACAATGGTCAACGCCAAGACCACCAGCGTCCGAGCGGTAAAGCCGCTGAACAGGGTGCCGTTTCTTCAGAAACACCTTTCACGAAGGCATTCTTTCCCGTAGCTGATACTTCGATAGCATCATCGTAATACAAAAATCAATTCTAAGTCGATGATCACTTCTTTAAATCTGATAATGATTTTTATAGTTTTTCTTGCATCACAAATCTGAATTTTAATTTTATTGAACTAATAAATTTGTATCTGCATTTTTTGTAGCTTTCTAGCAGAGTTCGGTAAATCAAGGTTTTTACCCATTTTACTTCAACTTTCTTAGTCGCCACCATTTATTCTACCTCATACAAAATATATACTAATAATTTAAATAATTCAACTTGTTACAGCTAAATAATCCAACTTTTTGAGGATACATATAGTAAGTAACCTAACTAACGTTGTGTCAAATAGAATTGTACCTTTGATATCATTCTCTACTCACAACATTTCGAAGATTTATTCTAAGACATTCTTAAAGTATGTGCAAAGAGATATCGAAAGTTTAATCTCTCTATGTTTGGATCTTACACGCAATGATGAATAATATCTCCAAGCATAACTACAAAAATGAAAAGGAAATCTAGATCCATTTCTTCAAATTATCAATCATTGGAGATTTCCTTCCTTTCATAATCTCTCTTTTTCCATTCCTGGGTAATAGTAAAAGGTAGATAAAACCATCCCGTTGAGAACACCTTAATGTTCGTTGAAATATCCTTTAAGTGCACTGCTTTTTAAGACATTTTCTAAAAAGGACTTTGAGTAAATCAGTGGCCAAATTCGAAGAGGATATTCTGATATAAGAAATATTGATTCTTCAGCCAAATCGATGCCGATTGCGGCTAAAAAAGTTGCTTTGGTGCGTTTACTCTCTGATTAAGTTGTACAAACTTTTAAAAACTCTTAATTTTTTAACAGACAAAACTGTTGAAGTCACTGCATGTTTAGCTCTAAAACAAAACATTCTGCAATGACATTTAATTTCAATGAAGATATATATGTATATGCATAATTATGAGGTAATTTAATGCTCAAGAGTTACTGTTAATCTGATTTCTTTTTGTCATTAACTATAGTGATAAATCTAAAGAATAACCGATATTAAAAAAAATGATAAAAATATTTCTTTTTTACGAATACTTACATATGAAAAAAACACGTGAAAGTTTGTTTACAATCTTACATATAAACCTAATTTTTAATCTTAAATGTAGATTTTAAACAAAAGTGTCCAGAAAATAGATATTTAAAACCAAATACTATCAAAATAGTAGAAAAATAACATACAAATCGAGGTAGTTTATGAAAGGATCTACGTGGAAGATTGTGACAAAAAATTTCCATAACAGTAACTCTTCCCCGAAACCCGAGGTTTTCTAGCTTGAGTTACACACACGCACACAAAAAAATTAAAGGGTGATATACCGACGTAGCATTGCTGTATGTGAAATTAAATGAAGACTTTTACATGTAGCAATACAACGAATTTAACGTTATAGAAAACACAACTATGTCCTGTAAATTAAGGGACTCAATTTACGCTTTTAAGTAGGCTAAAGTATCCTGAAATACTTAACCAAAAGTACATTATTAGAAATCTTATTGAGAGAGACCTGGACGTATCAAAAACACGAATCTCCGATTACCTGGTGGAATCACAAGCTATGTCATACAAGTCAACGGCGCCATACCACACAATGCGACAAAAGGACCACACAAGCATGCCACGTATTGGAGCAGTAGTCCACCAATGAAATGATCAAACACATAAACTCACTTGGATGGAACACCTGAACCCTATATACACTTAACTATAACAACTAGTCCCATTCTCTACTACTGCTTTAAAAATGCTGCCATGTAGTAGTTTGTAGTAGCTTCGATGACCAATGAGCTTCGATGACCCCGAATCAAATCCAAATATCGGTAGGTCATCAAACTTATACCGCTGCAAATGGCTATTGAAGAACTCGACGTAACGTAATTTTTCATCGCCTTGCTAATCATTTCTTATGCTGTAATATAACAGAAATTGATAGCATTCATGGTTTTCAAATTTTTTCTGATGATAATTTGTATTTATATATTTTCTGCGTGAGATGTAATTTTCTGAATTTATAATTAAAGTTTATATTTTTGCTGTCAGTACTTAAAAACGTTTATTGGTAGGGACTGGAAAGTCAAAATGTTCTGTTGATTTTGATATCTATCATAAGTCTGGGATTACCTACAATAGTATGGCATATTCAATTCCTCCTGAAGATAATAAAAGAGATTTATATCATTGATGTCTATGGAAGTCCTTATTTTTCCTAAGAAGATAGGCATTTCTTGTTTAGATATTCGATTGGGGAGAACTTGTCTCCGGGACACATTTGAATGGATGATGATGATATTTAGGAATGACACCGAATCTAAACTACCCTTGGAGAAATACACTGAACAAAACCTTTAGATTTTTAACTGCTTTTAAGTGTATGTTAACTTACTTTACTGCAATTCCGTGGATTTGTGAGATTTGTAATACCTTTTGCTAAACATATGAATTAAATTATAATATTTATTGTTGTAACAATGTATATGTATATAAATCACACAGATAACTTGGCCGTATTGATCATTTGAAGTAGATTTTCTATCTTTTATAATATTCTGTAGTATGCTTCTGTACGTGTACTGGTCAACTTTGCATCTTCTACAGCTTGACTTATTTTTATTCTTCAAAGACAGATGATCCCTTCCATATTCTTTTCGATATGTACTAAAATATTTAACTTCCTCTGAATATGCTATGGCATAATTTTTTAAATCATTTAATAATTGAAACACTAATTGTTTTCCAAGGGAGTGCCAGAATATGACCAACATATAAAAGAAAATGAATTTTCCGTCACTGTTCGTTTTCATGAATAGAGATGGAAGAGCTCACGCACTCTGCACCCGATGAGGACAATGCCTATTATAATGCTTAAACTGTTATTGTGTGTTCTCTGGAGGAGGAAATCTACTATCTGTGTACCGCGGCCAAGGATCGGGAGGGCTGGACAGGTGTCATGATTTAAACAAATGTTGTTGAGTTACGTGGGCAACTCAAGGCCCCTGAAGGACGTACGCTGGAATCTTCGGTTGCTACAACTGAATAGTATGCCATAAGCTTAAAAGTTGCACTGCATAAATTTTAGAAGTGCTTACATCAATTTCATAGAACCACATACTGTGCCTGATATTATAAAAAATTCTTACATAATATACGAGAGTATCAAAATAATAATTCACAGAAATATTTACATACTGTTTACAAGATAAAACTTTAGATAACATGAAGAAAATACATGCGTTGCAGATTAAATAATGCACTTCACAGTAGACAGTTCGGTACTAGGAGTAATGCGTTGTCCTAAATGCCTAAATATTATTAGAATTAATTATGTCTGGGTCAACAGTGTGTTGTATCCGTGTGCTAGCCCAATTCAGCTGCCGTTGTTTCGTGGCTTTATCTGTTAGTAAAGATGAGTAGTACAAAGCCGTGAGCTGCCTCAGCATCACTGAAGGTTGTTAATGATCATGGCAGTCGAACCAAGATCTAATGCTTGAAGGCTCAAACATCATACCGGAATGGTAAAAGTACGCTTCATCCTGTACTTCTTAATATTTGGATCTGTTTTCTTGGAGAAAATGACATAAGTAGCTAAACAGGAACAGCCACAAGCAAAATTATGATAAATCTCCAAAACATTTCCCTTTCTACAATATGAACTTCACTAATAAAACTGAGAAAAAAATTTTAAAGCCTTAAAATTACACAATCTGTCTTCTAAAATTATTATTTATAGCACCTTATAATGAAAATGCATGCTCCCAGAAATAAGACAAAGGTTCAGGCAAATGAGACACTTGCTTCAGGCGAACGATTGAAAGAGGCTGCAAATTAATTGTGGAAAGATAAAAATTTATTATGAAAAAGAAATTATGTCTTTTAATTTTCCATTTTGATGCAAATAAGAAACACTATTTTAAATAAATTTAAACTAAAACAACATTACTAATCCAACTTATATAATTTAAAGTATTGCATTCTTGATATTTCTCCCACTATCTCTGCTATAGGCTAACTATTCTGATCTCCGTTAATCATCTGTTCGTAGCCATCCTCTCAGGATAGACTTTCTCAGGTACGTTTCGACACAGTTTCTCAGGTATGTTTCGACACAGCTCAGGTACGTTTCGACACACACAGTGCAGCGACTGTGTTCGACACAGCGCAGAGTAAAATAAGCTGCAAAATTATTTAAATATGAATTAACTGATTTACTTTTTTTTCCTCCTGCAGTGAAGTTATCTATCTATTAAAACTCCATGTACGGATATATTATAAAATGGTTCCATTAACTGATAGAAAAGTGTAAAGAATTTTATATTGCAAACAATTCAGTTGAATTAAATGAAGAATTAGCGAATTGTTCACGAAAGTACTGCAGTCTTATATAAATGTAGTCATTGTTTCCAGCATTAAAATTTATTGTTAGAACTAAAGGACTAAATTCGATTTAAGTTTATGGTAATGAGATGATTAAGCTAAACGTGCTTAGGAAACACCATATTCCGGTCATCAGTAATTTTCTGGTGTCTCCTTTTAATCTGAGTTGTTGCTTTTAATGCTCTTACTTCGCCAAAACAAACTTCTTAAAATCCGCTAACTGAATCGGGATGATGTGGCGCCAAGTTAGTTAAGTTTCTTTACGCAGATCTAATGCACAAAACTCCATTGGCATAAAGCATTAGAAGATTAACTAGGAATTTATGGAAATGAAATGTACCATAGTTATCAGTTTCTTTCTCATTTTTCGAGCAAACTTTAGCTTGCTCCATTTTTCATTACAAAATTTATTGCAGAATAAAACAACTAAGTTTTTTTTTGTCTACTGGACTCATAGTTGTCTTTCCTCAATTGCCCGTATGATTTAATTTATGATTATTCCTGGTTAAGCAATAATTGTTGCTAGACATTAAACAAACCGGACGCTTGGTTTAATTTTTTTATTAGACCGGAATGTAAGACATAACGTTTCCTTTTTGAATTTCTATGTTGTTTAATATAAGGCAATAAAATGAATTGTTCGTATTAAATAAATAAAAAAGAAATCTTAAAATTTTGAATGTTGTTTGAAAGAATTAGAGCAAATGCTCCGGCTAATTCTAAAGTAACTGGTATTAAAAACTCAAAAGCATTGATATTCGTAAATCCCAGTAATACAGACAAAACACTCATTCCTAATATCCGTCATAATGGTAATAAACAAACATTTCTGTTAAATTAACTGCTATAAGAATAAAATTTTTTATGTATTAACATTTTATAAAGCAGAAATTAAGCTACAAAAATAACCTCTAATACTCAGTAAGAATTGATTAGACTGGATTATTTAATTATGGCAAAGCACACGAGAGCTACCTGCCTAAAGTGAGGGATGCCTTCGTGGAGGACTTTCTAAGGGAAACAGGCTGGTATACACATCACACATGGGGAAAACCACGAAAACGCCCATACAGCCAGCCCGTTTGCGGGATTCGAACCTCGGACCGAACTACCAGTGTTCAGCGTCTTTACCGCTCGGCCGCTGGTGGGGCAAAACGCAGTAAGGATTAAAGTTCTTAGGAAACAATTTTAATTGAAGACTTATTTGTCGACCAGTGGTTAAGCCGACTGAGAACTGGTAGATAGTAAAATTATTATGTATAGCAGCTTATAATGAAAATAATTTGCATGCTTCCAGATGAGACAAAGGTTGAGGAAAGTGAGACACTTGCTTCAGGCGAACGATTGAAAGAGGCGGCAAAGTAATTGTGGAAAGATAATGTACAATGAAAGTTTGTATGTATGTTCGAAGTAATTATGTTATATTAATCTGCCATAATCCAACTTTTGTTAATAGGTCAATTTCTTTGTAATAATTGTATACTGTGTCTTTGTAATTGTATATTCAATACTTAAGTCTAGTATTAATGTAAGATTACTATGTAAATGTCTTGGTAGGCTAGCATCCGAGGCGGGCCAACTAAAAGCCCAGCGGGGTACAGTAGTGCGGCGGAGCAACACCTGTAAAAGTCACTGACGAAGTTCTGGTGCTCCGTCCACTTTTCCCTGTCCCTGGTAGATATTACAAGCGAACTGCTTGAGCGCTTTCAGATTTTTTCACATGAGGCAACATGAATATAGGCTAGTTTTTCTGAAAACTGTCATCTCGAAGCTATTTTTCCTCTATTCCTCTCGACGATATTTTTCCTTATATTTTCTAGCGATGGTTTTGGGACTAAATTTTGATTACCAAATATGGCGAAAAATCGCCAAAATCCGCCAAGCTTGGCGACCATTTTGCGATAATTTGATCCGATCCCTGTGTAACTGTAACTAATCCAGTTCCTATGTATCCGCAACAGTATTCGGCCTTCTGTAACTGCAACTATGCCTTCTCGAAAATCGAAGGTACTGAAAATTTGAGGAGAAATCGAAGGTACTGAAAATTTCGCTGGAAATTTCTTTTCGTATTCGTAGTACAGTTTTTCTCTTGTACCTTCGCATCTAAGAACCTAATCTTCTCCTAACTAATCAAAGAACGCCATGGTATCGGCTTATCTTTAATAATTATCATGCATACTACCAAACGTTTAGAATAAGAAATGATAATTAACTGTGTATATAATAAAATATTTTTTATATCTCATTACGATTTATTCATGCTAATTTTTAACAAAACCCTTGATAATTTTTAGAAATATTTTATATTGTAAAGAAATATATAAAGCACAGATAAATGACAACACGCAAGACCTAAACCAAGATATGCCATCGACGCATGCTGTTAAAAATTAGGTATTACAGATTACAACTAAAATTATAAGGATTTTAAAGGCATTTAGATGTTTCGCAAAGAGCCAAACGTACGGCTATTTCAATAGTATAACAGAATTTTATTACATTTCTCCATTTTTTTGCTACAAACGGGCGTGGAGGAAGATAATTATTTCCTCCGCCAACTGGCTTTTGTCTGTTTAATATGATAAGCTGACACTTATATCTGAAACCAAGCCAACAAAACGTGCACGAAATTTGTTGCTGCTAGTTACCTTCAAGGATGCAGTATCTAATTATAAGTCTAAATTGCTTTAAATCATTCTTTTCAGTAAAAGAAGGACTCAGATTTGTTTGCTGAAGTTAAATATGCACCTGGAAAGAACTTTTGATGAGCTCGGTACTAGAGTTTACGTATGATATTTGTCTCAGGGTTGAATAAAAGCACAGCAAAAATTTCTCACTTGTTATATGCGAACTGGAAAACAAAAGAAAATATGGTGGTCTGAAATTACTAAACAAATTTATTATAAATCTTGACTGTTTTTCATATGAATATTGAATATCTCCTATTTTAATGGAAGATTACGAATTCAAGATACTAAGGCATTTGATTTTCTCTGCGGAGTTTCATTTAGAGAAATAAAATAGTTATGTATTTAACTTTTTAGACAATTTTAACCTCCCGATTGTATTATAAAGATTTATGAAATATAAGTATTCCACCATACTTATTTTGATAGAAATTAAAATGCCTTAAAATGAACGAAAATGTTTGAGTTGTGAATGAGAACTGCGTTTGCATGTTAAAACTGGCATGAATGTCACGCAGTTAATATTTTTTTCACACGCAATGTGAAATTAAATGTAAACTTCTCTGACTAGATGCGAATATTTGATACACGATGAGTTGACGAGCGTGCCTCATATATAAAAGAATCATATGTTTTAATGTTATGATATTAAAAAATTTTCATTTTTCTGTAGGGATGTTTTATATATTTTTGGTCGAAAACTTAAGCTAATATTTTTTGCATAGCATTAAAAAAATTCTGAGGCTTAAAGATTTTCTAATTCGGTAATTTTCAGGTTCATCTTTCAGGTTCTTTCACTTATATTCACTATACCTATAGTTACTGTACCTGAGTGTCCATATTTAGTTTGCTATGGACACTCAGAAATTGAACAATGAGTATTTAAATTCAGATTTCAGTAATTTCACATTTTGAATTTGGGTAGATAAAGTATTTAATACTTTTTTGTTTTGTAGTGTTAAATTTACATTTTTAAATAAACGTTTTTCTGCTACGAAGAAACAACAAAGGTTTTGGAAACGATTAGTAGTGAAAAAATATAGAACCAATAAAAATGAACGTAAACTTTCCGAAGAATTATGTATTCGCAAACTGAAATTTTAATAATTCATTTGAATGATAAACAGCTTGTCCATTTCACATATCATTTTTATTCACAAATATATCCTCTCTTAAATAAGTTTCAAAAACATATTGCAACAAATAAATTAAATAAACAAATAAAGAAAAAAATAAATGAGTATGCTTCTGGAAAACTTGCATAAATAAAAGCAAACATAAAATATACATAATTTTTAATGTGTGCAGTTTAAGCTACGTTTAATATATAATTCATTATTCATTTCAAGACTATGTGAAAGACAGCTTTGAAAGAATTAGTCTTTTAATTTACCGTTATTTATGATGCAGTTCGAAAACTAATATAAACCATTTTGTCCTGTACGTGTCGAATCGAAATTTTATACGAAAGAATGGAACTTTTATAACTTATTCAAACAGGAATAAAATTTTCGTAGCTACATATATGATATCAGTCATCTTCAATTTAGAAAGAATTAATCGCATTTTTCTTGTCTAAATGTGAAATGCCAATAAACTCCTTTTCATAAAGTGCTTTGCGATTTCAAGATGGAATTAAACACGTAAATATGTTATCGAAAAGGAAACTAATTATGACAGTAAAATTCTAGCCTGGAAGTTAGCGACAGGTAAACATATGTACAAGTTTCCGTCGGGCTTATGCTCTGTAACAATATATCCCAATCAAAACTTATTTTCGGTTGATAACCCACGTGTACTTTATTTAAGTTAAACATCCCAATAACAACTGTGGCAAAAGACGTGACGGCTATCTTTCTAGATGATGATACTTTTCTTGAGGAAATTGTAAGGGAAACTAATATATTGGAAACCAATAAAGCAAGCCATTCCACTAACGGGGAATCAAGTCCGTGGTGAACTACAAATGTATTGTGATTTTTTTCTTTACTACGAACTACAACATAAAAGGAAGAATTAATTAATAAAATTTGTACAGTATGGTATAGTTTTTCAGTTCTTAACAAGTATATTTATTTTCTGATGTATACTAAAAGAAATATTTCACAGATTGAGTAATCTTATGACACAATACTATTGAACTTTCTTCTAAAAATAAAAATTAAAATGATTTACTTAAATTAATAATGAGAAAGGATGAGGAAATGCTGAAAGAAAAAGAAAACTTTGGCTATTTTTTGTTTCGTTCATTCTCTATATATTCCTTTTCTCTGTATATTCCTTCTCTGTGCATTTCCTTCAAACGTAGATGGGAATCTTCAAAAGTATTAAAGTAGAGCATTGGGAATATTTTCTTTACTACCTCCATTTCAAGGCTGCTAATCCCAATGGTCTATGAAAAGACGTCAAGAAGAAAATTGCATTTATTCACCAGAGATTTGTAGCTTGAAAATAAATTTGTACGAGGGAATACATATGCATAATACACGTTTCTAATGGGGCATCTTGCAACGTACTATCGCATGGGTTTACAACATTGTTATCCAATGAAGTGAAATTATTTCAAGAAGAGAAATGATTGTTTTCATGTTTAAATAAATAAGTTTCCTCACAAAATAAACATGAAAATATTTACAAAATAGATGAGCATTTTAATGCATGTTCATACAAAAAACATTGGATGAAGTTTAGCATCAAACAGTGCAGGTTATTCGAACATCGCAAAGCACATGAGGACTACCTGCCTGAAGGAACGTTTCCCTTCGTGGAATACTTTCTAAAAGAAACTCACTCGTATTCACGTTACACATGAAGAAAATCACGAAAACCAACTACACAGCCTGCCCGTTCGTGCAGTCTGCCTGGAATCGAACCGAAGTCGAACTCTCAGTATTCAGCAGTCTTAATCACTCGGTAATTGGTAGGGCCACATGTTGGATAAGAGCATCTACGTAATAATATATAATGGGTAATAGAAATGGGAAACTATGAAGTAATTTGGAAAAGATGTAATTTAAAATTTCGTGTCGGGATCTTTGATATGTAAATTGAACAGGTATATATATATATATAGATAGATAGATAGATAGAGGTAAAAAGGAAATTCTTCAAGCTATTGCTTTAAAGCAAATGTGATGCTGTGGTTCCCGTGAATAATTTTTAACACTAAATTAAAATAAATTGCAATTAAAAGTTTAAATACAAGAAAAAATGAAATTATAACAGGAAAACTGACAAATAAAAAGTGAATGTAAAATTCAAATCAATTTTGAATGTTAAAAAATGTTGATTAAAGTTTAAACAATCCTAAAAACATTTTAAAATAAACAAAGAAATTATTTAAAACACTAGCAAATTAACTAAGAAGCGGTAAATGGTAAATTAGCCTAATTCGAATCTCATTACGGACTCTTCAGGGGAAATGCACAATGATCTTCGAATCCAGCTAATTTCATATCGCGTTTCGTCAAAACAGAAGAATTGAGACTGAACACGAAATAATTTTTTTGACTATTAAACCGACCAAAAAACCTATTAAAACTTAAGTCTCAATTTCTCTGCTTCATTTCCCGACGCGTCCGCTGGTTAAAAGTAAATGAGAAACACATCAATGGTGCAAGAAAAAAACTATGCAGACTAGCCTGGTTACGCAAATGTACAGAATAAAATAAATAGCGAATTGCTATTAGTCAACTATACAAGGTTTTTAGGGAG